AACTCCTTCACTGAATCCAAATTACACATGATTGGGTAGCCAGAGGGAAGCCAGCCTGGAAGGGGGAGATGGGGCCGACAGTCAAGGTGAGATCTCAGCTCAAGAAAGTTGTTCTGTATTTTTTAGAAGTTGGCAAGTAATTCCCAAAGAACAATAAATCGGACCAATTAAACCCTTTGTTGTGGTCTGGAATTATCCTCTGGATAGTTCCTCAAATTAATTCTTTATCAGTGTTAATGGATGAATACTGAAAACAAGTCAGTGTGTGTATTTGATAATCAAAATTTGATCCATGTTGTGATTGGTCAGATAAGTCATCTTGTTGTAAATGCTGTACCTGTTTGGGGGTGTATGTGCAGGCCCTTCCACTGAGAATACTCCCATGTTTAAAATTTCAGTTTCTGCAAAGATTCATGCACACCTCTCTGAAATTCACTTTCTGTGACCTTTTGTGACAGTGAAACTCAAATGCTGATGGAAATCAAAGCCAAGAGAGGCACAAACACCACCACGGAGGATGCATTAAAGCAACAGAGCTGATATTCATGAACATTTTTGTAGTGGTGTCCCCAGATCTAATGTTTTTATTGTATTTTAGAATGTTTAATACCGTGTTCATTATACAGCTCTTTAGAAATAAACGGTCTGAGTGTCAGAGATGCTGATCCCCTTGGATTGCAGGGGGAGGGAAGGGGGGAGATAAAGGGGAGGGGTAGTTTGATTTAGTATTGATATTTAATTTCTTTGTTACAGTCAATTTCAGCATGAAGAAAGGTGCTGGACTGACAACTGTGGTTGGATAACAAAACACTCAGTAAATCCACAAAAGAGAGAGAGGCTGGGCAGTGGCAGAACAAGCTTCTAAATTACACACCACCTCCTCTCAATTGATCGCAATTTCTTGGAGGGACGATCCCTTGTGGTGAGAAGTTAGTTCAGTCTTTATGATCCAATCTATCCTTGGCATCTGATTCTCAACACAGGGCACAAATAACTCTAATGATTATGGTTGTTTGTTGGTGTGGACATTAATCTACTGGGGACTGGACTGACATCCACCAATTAATTTCAGACAGGCCACTGAGTCATCCTCAGATGTCACTGAGTCTTGTAAAATGCTGCATGCTCTGGCCCCAGTCCAGTAAAGCATTTAACAATCAGCAGGAACGTAGCCCCATTGACATAATTGTACAGCTAGACAAGAATGTATAAGTAGTGTGATGAAATTGACCAAGAGACATTTATTGTGGTGAGCTCTACTAACGTAGAATATGGAATAGTCTTCTCCTAAGGAAGCTGCATGGTTGGAGTCATTTAAATCTAGGAATGAACAAAGGACTAGAACGTATATTGCGCAGCGCTCCGCGGGGGGCGGGAGGATCAGCGGGGTTTCGGCGACGCGGTGCTCCGCGGGGGGGGGGGTGTTTGGCGGCACTCCGCGGGGAGGC